GGGGAAAAAAACAAATGCACTCAAGGATTTGATGGTTTCCTCGAGTGAAGTGATGAGCAAAGGAAAGCAACGATGCAAGAACTTCAAGATAGCAACATACAAATGATAGAAAAAATGGAGGCAGCTAATGATCAACACCACCAAGCTTCAATTGTGGCTGCAGATAGGAGAGCTGTAATGATGTTACAAGGAATACACATGATATGTGAGAACTTTGATTGCTTTGGCAAGCTTTTGTGGAATCAACCATGATAAAGGAGAAGTAGAATTGCAAATTATGTTTTTTAAAGTGTTGAAATGGAAGTAGAATTAGGGTGACAAGGCGCTAGATCATGACATGAGGCACTGGATCAATCTAGGGTTTGGCATTGTGAGGTCAAGGCTGTCACAATTGCAATGAGGCAAGGCAACACTTGAATCGTCAATGGATGGCACACACAAGAAGATGGAGAACAAGCTTCAGTCTTTTGGTGGAGCATGGAAGCCCACCCTTATGAGGGACATCAGGTTTCCCCCGTCCCCCCTATTTTGGGTGCCATGTCACCAGGGGGGTATGGAACCTAGGGTTTTATTTCTCCCCCCTGGAAAATTTCCCTCAAGGGTGGAGTATCTGCCCAAATAGAACTGCTTAAGTTCTACAAGGTTTCTTGCTTCTTTCCATGGAGAATTCAATCTTAGTCTTGGTCTCAAACTTGGTCTTAGTGTCGGCCTCAATCTCAGACCCAGTCTCCATTACTTTATTGGACTCACAATACCATTGTATTATTATAATTCATTTCACGTAGGTGTCTTAGGAGAAAAAGTGATTGGTGACTTAGGGCATAGAGGAGTGCAGCTTCTAGCACCATGCCTGCTGTGATCGGAGGTGCAGCCAAAAGAAGAAGAGCGTATAGGAGAGAGCACCCAATCTCCCTACACTTGCTACCATCAGCGGGGGCATCTGCTGCGAGAATCAATGAAGAATCATTCCAAAATCTCTCTATTTTTTCTTTTATACTACTGTATCCAAGATGGAATGCCACCCAACACCAAGCAACAATGGAGGGAGATCCAAGCCTCAACCTTTTGCACTTGGAAGAGGTGCTAGAGTCTACGGCCTCAACTTCTGATTGCCCCAAGGAGGGATGCTAAAGGGAAGAGCTGCCAACAACAAAATCTAAATCACTGAAAGGAAGGCTTTGTTGGGCTCTTTGATGGACAGTGAGAAGCTAGGACACTATTAGTGATCAAGCAAGCTCATTGTAGAAATCACCTCTATAAGCCACAAGTTTTTCCTTTCTAATTTGTTAGCTTACCTCATCTATCTGACCACCACTACTTTAGCCTTAGTTAAGTTCCCTTGCCATGATTCCTTTCTATTGTACTATCTTCTATTTGGTCCTACTTAGTTTCAGCTACTCACTACATGAGTAATAAAGCATTAGCCATCTATCCATGAATTCCTAAATTCTCTCCCAATCCCCCTCCCCAAGTTAAATTGGACTTAAGGTTCAACTACACTCCCCACAGACATAAGTAGCAAAGCACACCAAGTCTCCAGATTCTTAACATCCCTTGGTATAATAAAACTTAATTATGGAACCCTCTAAATCCCAAGCCTTAAGTGTCTCACTTGCTTTAGGACATCGCTAAGAAACACCATGGCTTAATGGCTCAGTATGGGTACCTTTGTTTTTCCATCCCAAAGAGAAGGCTCAAGCCCCTAGGAAAGAGTGAGGACCAATAAGCCACAAGGTACTCAAGTAGGGCACCACTTCACATGAGCTAGAAGCATTGCAATTGGTTTCCCTTTCGGGAGTGGGAACTGCTCTTGAGCACTTCCTCGGGTGGCCTCTCTAGCACCACCTGACTCCATGCTCACTCCCACCCGAGGCCCCTAGTCTCTACCTCAAGTCAGTTTGGAAGCACCACTGAAGAGTTCCTTCAAGACTGGTTCCTAGACCTCACTATCCCCACTATACTTTTGGAACCCCCTGCAGCCGGCACCCCCCCTCCCCCCCCAAGAGACACACACTTTGTGCTTTCACCCCACAACCTATATTAGTACTCAGACTCGGTCTCAATCTTGGACTCAGCCTCACACTTGGTCTCGGACCCAAACTCGGACTCAGTTTTGGACCCAATCTCAAATCTTGGACTTAGTCTCAAACTCGGTCTCAGAGTCGGTCTCAAACTTGATCTTGGACTCAGCCTCAAACTTGGTCTCAGAGTCAGTCTCGGGCTCGATCTCGAACTTGGTCTCATCCAATGAACTTTTTATGATTTTGGTCATGGTTTCAGGGATTCTTTAGCTTAGGACATCTTAGGGAGTTGGTTCCTTACAACTCCACCATCTATAAAAAAAGTTCAATACCCACATCAAATGTCTCTTTTTTAATTCTATGACTTGTTGACCATGTCTCTTGGGACATCCCCCCACTTAACAGTGTGTCTAAATCAGCCAATCTAGCTAAGAGCCCATGACAATGGGATATAAGTGTCTCTATAACCCTCAACTCACCATGCCCTAGTATACATCTATAGATTCGACATCCCTGTGGGGCGTCGAGTGTAGCTCCCTAGGCCTGGTTGACCTAGCTAACCCATGCTACCTTCAGTGTGCCTTTGGGTCCCAACATATGACATTGTTCAATTTCTCAAATGAATACTTTAATTGAACTTTGCATAAGTATATAAAGTTCTACCTTGCAAAAATTCCTCCACTAGATCCTCAAAGTACAGCTTAAGTACAAAGGTTGAGAGGCAATGGCATCAGCAGTGTAGTAGCAATGGCCGAGGAGTCATCCCACAAGGTATGTCTCTATTGACACAGGATCAACATTGAAATGTATAGTTTTTGTCACTCTTAAGTAAATAAAGTACAATAGTATTGTCACTCTAAGCTCTCTACAAACTTTTCCACAGTGTCTCGCAATGCTATGCTATCTTTAGCTGAACGAAGAGACCTTTGTGGAAGGTACCCTGCATCATGGTTAAATCTGTCAGAGTCAAAATCTTCCATGAACCTATCATTCCTTGTGATCAAGTCATGCAGCATGCAGCAAGCCATGATGTTGTTTGCAAGGATGCCTGGATGTCCTCTGAATCCCTTTTGAGCTAGCAATTTCCATTGCCTCTTTAAAATTCCAAAATGTCACTTGACAATAGAAGAATGGAGGAAGTTGTACTTCTCTTGCCATGAAACCTGTTTGGATATGGGACCAAAACCGGTGTTTGAGGTATCTTCATTTTCAAACAGCCCTAGGGCAACTGCTCTAGCAATTGCCTGTGTTTCTTTGTGGCTCCCAAGGACTTGTGGCCACCCTTTTGAGTGTACTGGGAAAAAACACTGACTTGCAGAGCCTCTCAAAGGCTCTAAGCATTGTATTAAGCACAAGCGAAGGACAATTCCTGCCATGGGTTCCACCAGCTGACGAGCTGTCCAATATGTATCCAGCTTAGATCATCATAAAAAAAGAGCTGATGATTACCTTCGGCGCTATATACTCGAGAGCTAATGAGAAAAGCAAGGACGATACCTTTATGAACGGGATGGGATTCAAGCATCAGGAGAAACAGTCATCAAAAATGTTACAGCGAAAAAGTAAGTGGCAGGAAATTCATATAATCAAGATAGTGAAAAATATGTGAAGAGGAGCTGCCTAGTTTTCAATTTCTTGTTTGTTTTCTCCTTATGTATTCTCCTTTTGAAGAAGTGCCACCCTTCTTTACTACAAGCAACAATCTCATGCTAAATAAGTCAATTAGTCAATGTTGAAATTAGTGATCCAGATATAAATTCGCCAGCCATCCAATTCCCATGAAGGACGTTCCTAGTTCCAAGAAAAAGATACTTCCCTTCTCCTTTGGGCTTGTTATCTGCAAAATCTCCTTCATATGTTGTTCCATCACGATAAACCCACTGGCCTTTAGCTAAACTTCCAGCCATCCACGTTCCTATGAACTGTATTAAAGAAAAATTTGAATAAGAGTTGTCTTTGATAAGGAGCACCAAAAATTATAAGAAATAAGAAATAAGGAAAAGGGATCAAAGGATTTTTCAATGACCTGGCTCATACTGTCTTTGAAGTAGTAAGTTCCAATGCCATGCTTTACACCATCCTTCCATTCTCCTTTATAAAGATCTCCGTTTGGATATGTGTACATTCCAGTTCCATGTCTTTTATCATTTAACCATTGGCCTGTATGAATTAAATAGAAATACTAGAACATTCACTAGAGTAAACCTTACCGTCATAGATACTATTGTCAGGATACTTCAATATGCCTGGTCCAGTCTTCTGATCGTCCACATAAACACCATCAAACATTCCTGCCTTAGCCCATCTGTACTTTCCCAGTCCTGACTTTGTGCCCTGTACATATGCTCCGGTGTATGTATCACCGTTTGGATAAGTAGCTATGCCCTCGCCATGCGGAATAAAATCAATCATTGGTCCGGTCCATTGCTGCAAACATAATTTTGAGATCCATCTTAAAACAGTGACTCCTTACAGTCACTGGCTTTTCGCCCTCCTCGCCTTCTTCGTCTGCCATCATAGTATTTGCTAGGTAGTTAATGTTGAACGGTGTTCAGGTCAGGTCATGCATAGTTAATCATACAGTTGAGCGCTGGCCTGTCATGATTGACGGTGTTGATTAACTAATACATGTCAATCAGAAAAAGAGCCCCTAAATGACGATGGCAATAATACAAGTGAGATCGATATCTTGCAAGTTTTAACAGTCGGCCCCAAAGCGCAATAGATCACAATTATGACCATCACCTTCTGTAATCATACACGAGAGTTCATTAAATACTACCGCAGGAGACGGCGAACATAGAGATGGATTGAGAACAATGTCTATCCGATTGAGAACAAGCAGGGACAGCTTCAGAGCCTTAAAGGCTCCGCCTCTGCTGACAAATGCACTGGGTACATCCATCGAAATCCCATTTCAAGTCTATCTAATGAAGATCCTTTGTTCTTTTCACCCTTTCACTCTATTAGGGCATAAAAATGTATATTTATTTGAGCAAGAAGATCAGCATTCCACACGGTTTGCAGCTCAGGAGCCTGTCTTGGAACGCGCAACAGGGATGGCTGGCCTGCGGGACTGATCATGGCATTGTCAAGGTGGGTTTCTGGGAGTTTGCTTGGGATGCTAGGCTCTATACTCTGACAGGTTCTCAAGCTCCAAGATGCATCCGGAGTGAAGGACGATGGGTTTTTCACCACGCAATCGAACCTTTCCATGAACCAGACGCTTGAAGGGCACCGGGGTTCCATCCTAGTAGTTAACTGGAATCAAAACTACCGAAAGCTGACGTCAAGTGATGAGAATGGACTCATCATCGTTTGGATACTTCATAAGGTGTCAACTGTTTTAGAAAGGTGATCACTTTTAGTAGGTGTGTACTTACAGGGAATGTGGTTTGAGGAAATGATTAACAACCGCAGCACGAGCGTTGTTCGTGACATGAGATGGTCTTCTGACGGCCGTAAAATTTGTTTTATATATGAAGATGGCCATGCAGTGTTGGGAAATGTGGATGGAAATAGAATTTGGGGAAAGGAGCTTAATCACCGGCTTGTGCTTGTCGAGTGGTCACCAGATGGTAGGCTTGTGCTTTTATGTACTAAAGAGGTTAGTACTAACAATCATCAACAGCCTGACAATTTCAGCTTTAATATTCTCAGGGAAAATGCTTGTTATATGACTGCCATGGCAGCTTTGTTTCCAGTCTTGCATTACGATTTGAAGTGGATTCCGATATTGTTGGTTTACATTGGTATGATGGGTTTGAAGGTCTAGATGACACTTATCCTCCAATACTTGCAATAGCACTTGAAAGTGGTAAAATTCAGGTAACCTGCATGCTGATTTTTCTTACAAAAATAACTTCTTTTTCCCAGCTAATGAGGCATGAGCTTGACGGAGAACCTATTCTTGTAACTGCAGAAATGACGACTGCCTCAATCAGGTGGAACCCCAATGGTACAGTACTCGCTGTAGCTGGCTACAAAAAAACCCAGGAGGATACTAACTCAATAGTGAAACTCTTTTCCCCACTGGGATTTCACTTGAGAACCCTTCACGTGCCAAACACCAAAGTTAGGTACAATGCATTGAAAGATGACACTGAGGGTTTATTTTTTTTCTCACTTTCAGGGCAGTGACATGGGAAGGGACTGGCTTGAGGTTAGCAATTGGAGTGGATGCAAGCATATACCTCGCAAGTATTAGGCCTGACTACAAGTGGACTTTCATTGGCCAAAGTACATGTGTATATAGCTTTAAAAAAAAACACCCTGATGAGCACTGTGTAATGTTCTGGGATGTAACTACTGGTGACAGGTTAATCATTTGCAGTTACTTCATTTTGTGTGTTTTGTCCTCAGAGAGCTACTGTTGGTTACAGGTACTTGAAACACGTCAACAGACTTTGTGCTGTGTGCGGTTCTGGAGGCCATTGTGTTTTGGCTACAAAGGTACTAGGCTATTGATAAAAGGAATAATCAGTTTTCGTTTTTTTCAAATATCAGGAAGAGGAACCTAATCAATATATTCTTATACTTTGCAATGCCATTGGCAATCCTCTTGAGTCAAACCACATGACCATAGAACCAGTCTTCATGACTATGAATGAAGTAAGATATGGGAATAGGCCTGACTAAAGAGCTTTATTTTGTTTATTCAGAATCAAGTTTTTGTGGCATCCAAAACTGATGTGTATGTATGGAATTATCGAGATTCTTTACCATTACTACCTTCCAAACAACTGCTAAGTTCTTTCAGCAATGATCTAAGCAAGGAATCCAAAGATCATACATATTGTTTGGACTGGAAAATCAATACAGGCATCAATCAGGTATATAACTTTACAAATGGACTCTACATATTTTGTTTTCTGGTAGGACAAGATGGACCAAATATGTTGCGTCTTCTGCTCACAGACAAACTTCTGGATTGGCTGTGAGTCCGGTGTGTTACACTGGTACGAACTGCCTTCACATAAATTAGCAGGGAAGATGTTTTTAGAATGCAGGCCTCAAGGTAAGGTATCAGTTGCCATATTTTTAATCTTTTTCTCTGTATTCTATGGCCAGCTATTGACGTGAACAGTGACTCCACGAGATTAGCAGTAATTGATGTTAATGGATCATTTTCTTTCCGAAATAATGTTCACATGGTAACTGCAATGATTTACACAATCAAGCACTATTGAGATGTGCTTCAGGACCGAAAGTCGGAGTTCGAACGTAAGGCTGTATGGAATATGAAATGGGCGGATGACAATCCAGATTTGATCGTGATAATGGAAAGATCTCGGATGTACGTTCTTAGGGGTACCGAACTTGAAGAGCCTGTTTCTTGCAATGCATATTTTTGTAGTTTTCACAACCTACAGGTGCTGTGCTATGTTTTCTTCTGTCTTACTCAGCAACAACTGCTACAGGTGTTAGCAATTCGGCTTGACGATGTTATGCAACAGCCAGAGCAGCCAACAAGAGCCCATATTTTCAGTTATGAGACCAAATCCTTACGTGATACACATCAAATTCTCCAAGCGGTTGAAATTCAAGACGCCTACAGCTATGTAGAAGAGCATGGACATCCACGCCTATGGACATCCCTTGCTGAACATGCTTTGGAGCACCTTGACTTCAGTGTTGCTGCAAAGGTAAATATGACGAAGAATACGTCTTTTCACCATAATTTTGGTGCAGGCGTTTGTAAAGTGCAAAAACTACTATGGCATACAGTTTGTTAAGAAAGTCGAAGCTCTTCGAGACAAGAACCTGCAAAATGCAGAGGTTTGTTGCAATCGACTTCTCTCTAGATCGCTAACTCGACTATCTCAGGTATGTGCGTACTTTAGAAGGTTTGAGGATGCTGAAAGAATCTATATCAACATAGATAGGAAGGATCTTGCCATTCACATGCGAATGAAAATGGGGGATTGGTTCCTGTAATACGTTTCTTTTCTAAAGAGAGTTTTTAACTTCTTTCTGGTCTCAGAGTGGAGAAGCTTTTGGAAAACTTTCCTGGGAACAACTCACTTCTGAAGCTAACCTGGAACAATATCGGTGATCACTTTGTTGTCACGCAAAATTGGAATGACGCTGAAAGATATTATAGCAAAGCAAAAAATTTTCAGATGTTGGCCGAATGTTACTCTGAACTTCAGCACTGGACCAAACTGCAAAAACTTATGGACTATGTTGAAGATGGTTCGCCCCTTCTGGAATCTATAGCAAGAAAATTTATGAACATTGGCGTTTGTGAGCATGCGGTAATAACGCCATCAACTTTCAAAAACTTCTCAATCAGTCTGGTTTTTTTTAGGTCACAGGTTTTACAAGATCGGGTAACATAAAGGGAGCTTTAAACTGCTGCTTGCAATTGAACGATTGGGACAAAGCAATCAAGCTGGCAGAGTTACATAATTGTGAAAAAGAAACGCAAGAAAGACTCAGAACCTTCATAAATGAGCTTTTAGAATCTGGTAGCACAGTGTCAGCTATTTACGTTCTCCAAAAGGCAGGGAAGCATTTACAAGTAGTGAACCTACTCAATGAGCATGCCAAGATAATCTCATTCACAAAGGCAGGTTCCAACAGGTCCCAATATTTTGCTGATAATATTTTGCAGAGTCATGCATTGGAAGTTAAGAAAATATACGTGCTTGCTGCCTTTGAAATGGAAGCTTATATAGCAAGATCACTGGATTTACAGGTATATTTGTAATCTGTAAGCTATTGTTACCTCTATGTTGCAGCACAATGCAGACTCTCTAGATCTCTCAGATATGGATATTCGGAACGCCTGGCACAACGCAGAAGCATACCACCTTTGGATGCTTGCTCACCGCGAGCTTTATTCTGGAAATCTGGAACAAGCGGCAAAGGTAATAGCATTTGTGCGCTTGCGGAAGTCTCCATTTGTCATGCAGGTTTCGTGGTGGCTGAAAGATTATGAAGACGTGTTACAACCGCATAGTATATACTCCCTCATTGCACTCACATCATACTTCTGTGGGGTAAGTTGGTCGTATTAAGAAGCATAGCTAATTATGTGTCAATGTTTTACAGTATTACGAGCAATGCAGCAGGGCCTTTACTGTGCTGGAGCTAAATCGTAGCATTCCAGAACAAGAACGAAAGGACTATAAAGAAATGGCAGCATCCATCTTTTCAAGGCATCAACCTGTTAGTAATGCAAAAGTAAGCAGTGGAATACGAAAATGCTTGAGGTGTGGAGTCTCTTTGGAGGTAAAAGCTGATTTAAACATCTCAAATATAGAGAGGAGTTTTTTTTCTTGCGTTATAGGATGAACTCAAGCGTAGGTGTCCGACACCTAAATGTACGGCAACTTTTCCCATATGTATGGCAAGTGGAACTCAAATCTTGCACGAAGATTTTGTCAAGTGCGGCTACTGCAAATCTCTCATGATATCTTCCAAGCTCAAGTACAAGGTTCATTGCTCGCTCTGTCATTCGCCACTAGAAAACCATCCCAGTGCTATGCATCTTTTTAAATAGAAGAAGGTTGCAAGTTCTGTCCTGAGCTGGTGCATGTGAAATTTATTTCCTTTGTCCAAGAGGGAAAGAAGAAAGAATTATAGCGTTTTTCATCCAATGCCAGAACACTGGTACACTAAATTAGTGAAAGTATGGACCACCCAATTTACTGGCACAATTTTATTGCTCGCTATGACTTTCTGCCGTCAGTTATCTGCTTCCAGCATCAAACCTCTGCCAAAAAGTATTTAGCTCAGTGAAAATGTGGCGAAAGAATATTTGTCTAGGGTTAGGTTCATGTGCATAGTTTTTTTGTAAGCAATGACGGAGAAAGAAGTGAGCGTTTCTTCGCCACCTGAGCGAGCACCTGATGTTAGTCAGGGTGTGGAGAATGATGATAAGGAAGAGCGTGGAGGATGGACAATGCTTCAACAACAGAAAACACCGAGCAAAGCAGTGGGATTTGAGGCTGCCAGCGCGAGTGGGGAGCAGCCACAAGAACTCAAGGCTCAAATGAAACAACGAATGTCGAAGATGAAGAAGATGGTCTCGGAATTGGGACTTAAGCAGGAGAGTGTGGGTGGTCTTATTGATCTCTCTTTCTTGCCAGGATTTGCAAGTGATGAGGTTAATGCGCTTAACAAAGATGTATTGAAAGCTGAGAAAGAACTTCGTGATGTTGAGGTTTGATAAAACTTAACGGTCAAAGTGCAGTAATTACCTAGTCTCTCTTGTACAGGAATTAGTGGAAGAACAAGAGGAAAGATCGTCTATAATGGAAGAGCATATGAAACGTGTAAGGCAAGAGATCACATTTACACAGCTCAGAGCCGATGTCAAACGAAGAGAAGTTTTCACAGAAGAGAATTTGAGGAAAATATCGGAAATGGAAGCGAAAAGGCTAGAGGTAAGAACTGTTCAATTAATTCCGTTCCTTATTTATCGTACTCTTTATTTCAGAGAGAGATTCGTAAGTTTGAGAAAGACACGGATGAACTCAATGATCGCATGAGGGGACTTAAGGCCGCTATCAATAGTGGTAACGAGAAAATGGACGAATTTCGACTTTTGATGCAATGGAATCAGGTTTAGTTTCTTATATGAGGACGTAACACTTGTGATAATCTGATTTGTCTAGTTATCATCTTACTAACACGTGTCATGTAGGGAGCAGGAAGAGTTGGATCAATGGATGCAAGCAGCTAGGCAGAAAGACGAGGATAGTGTTGCACTACAGAGCTATACGAAGAATGATAGTTCTAAACTCAAAGAGCTTTACCTTGAACTAGAAAAAGCCTCTGGAGGCCTTTATAATCTCCAGCAGCAGCTTGATGATGAAGTTACCGAAACTCAGAGTGCACAGATTCAGCTGAACAGAACGGCAGAAGTTTTCAAGTACGTGGAATTGCAGCGATTTATTTATTTTTCTTTCACGATCAAACAGAGATTTACAAAATGAGAGACAGAAGCTCGTTGTCATGTGGGAGGAGACAATAGAAGCTATCCATATGCGTGACGAAGGCATTCATAAAGCTGCCGAAGAGTTTGCAGCAAACAAAGCTGTACTTCGCCACAAAAAAAGGCAGCTGGATGGTCTGTCTACCAATCTAGATGGAGAAGTCGATAAAAATGTGAGATATTTTTGGCTATGCAAAATGCTCTAGTCTAATAGATATGGTATGTCAGCTGGAATTTGACAGGCAAATCGAATTGGTGGAAGAGGACATTTCAAAATTACGGGATGATCTCAAAACTGGAGTTGCCAAGTAAATAGATCTTCATTTTCTGCTGTTATACACAGTGTTATTGTTTTTTAGCACAAAAGACGCGGAAGAAAAGTTAGAACTTTTGAAAAGCCGAGTGACACGCGCAATAAATGATCTAGCTAACGAGAAAGCCAAGAAAACGCAAGTAGAAGAGGCAAGTTGTATTTGATTTATCAATTGCTTCTAATGATGTCTATTCAAACAGGACCTTGTAAATAAGAGGAAGAAACTCGAATTAGTAGAAAAGAAACTAGCAGATTTAAGGATAAAAGTCGAGGATGAGTACATGCTTCTTGACACACTGGACAAGAAGAGACATGAGCTTGAAAAAATCCTTGCAACTGAGGAAGTTAATCTAAAGGTTGCAAGAAAAGAGGTGTCTGACTTACGTGAGAGACATTTTAAGGAGTCTGAGAAACTAAACGACATGAAAGCGAAAGGTGGCCTGACCTGTGTTCTTTCTTGTGTAAACTTGGTGGTATATTGCAGAGAAAGATATTCTATTTGAAATCCATGGGGCCAAATCACAAGCAAAATCTCTGACTAATCAGATTCATCAGTTAGAATCGAGCATGATCAAGCAAGAAGAGGTGCTGTACTCGGCCGAGTTCCAGATACAGTGCCTTGAGAGGAAAGTAGCCCGAGCCGGTGGTGAGACAAGTGATGTGGAGGCTCGTGAGTTTAATGCAAAAATTCAGCAGCTTGAACAGGAATTGCAGGAGAAACTAGCAGAGGAGGTGATTGTTTTGCAGCAGGTACGGTTGACAATGAAATATGTTAATTTTCATAATTGAGTATTTTCAGCTCAAAAAATCTCAAGACGATCTTAGAGCGGCAGTACGCAAACGTGAAGAATTAACAAGAAAACTGAATCAAATTGAGGAAAAGAATGCTGAACTGTCATTAGAGTCAGAAACAGGGCTTCATACCCTCAAGGTAATCACTGGCTAGAGTGAATCTGGTACTCACATTCGTATACCAGCAGAACCTTGTAAAGGAAAAGGAAGAAAAGATGCTTTCGCGTGATCTTCTGCAGATGGAAGTTAATCGCCTCCAGGGAATGCTAAACAAGAATGCCGGTATGATGTATGAACTAGGATGATAAGCTTTAAATGATTTTTTTTTTCTTTATACGGTTTGTATATATTTGAAGATGCCGTTTTTGGAATGGAGAGCACAAAAAGAAGACTTCAGATGAGTATGGAGGAATGTCGACGGGAGATTGGTAGTCGACATGAAAGACATATGTCTGAATTAAAAAGCTTACAAGATGACTTGCACTTTATGCTTATGCAAAGGAATAAGATGGCAGTAGCTGTTGAGAAGGTGGTCATAGTGTACTTGATAGAGAGTACTAACATACTCTCCTTTCCCAGCTTCGATCCAAATACGAAGTTATACTAAATAGAGTCAAAATCGAAAAGAGTGCAGAAAGGTCACCAAATTATTTTGTCATTAAAGCTGCACAGGAGCGAGAAGAAATTCAGCGAGAAGGCTATAAACTTGAACAGGAGGTCAAACAGGTCAGATAGGTTTTATTTATGCAACACATTTGTTTACATTTCTAGGTTTCTACTGTTTATCTTACTTTCCAGGTCCAAGCAGACGTTTCGTCTCTTGCAAGGGCTTTTGAAGATGTAAAAGACGCCAACACACTCTACAGGAACAGTCATAAGACTGCAAACACACTGAAGCTTGAGAATGAAAAAGCACATTTGAAGGTAGTCTTTGAGCAAGCCAAAGAGCGGCATCAAAACAAGGTAGAATTGGAGCGGGCTTTGCTGAAAGTAAGTTATTGCACCAAACTTGTTCCAAGTGCCATATGCGTATGGTGGCTCTTTTAGGAATTTGATCAAGCCGAACAGAGAAATGCCACCATGGAGGAAAAAGAGAGTCATGAGTTGGAGACCTTGAACATCCTCCAACATCAAGTTGAGACAGCTGAAAAAGATAACAAGGAGCACACCAAGAAACAACGGCGAGCAACTGTACGATTTGAAAGGCTGGCATCAAAACTGAAAGAATCATATGGGTACTTGAGAAATCAAAACTTTTACATTGACTTAAGAAGTTCGTCCACTATAGGGACTTAGATGCTGAGCGCATTGCAAAGGAAATGCAACTGTCTGAAGCAAGAGAAACAGTAACAGATGTTTTATATAAGCTGAAGGCTGTGATTCAGGAAAACCCTGATCTAGGCCGTATTATCCAAGAACGAGTTGCTGACGCTGGCTTTAAAATGCCATCAAACACTTCAAGTGTAAAGTCAAGCGTTTCTGGATCAACAAGGGGAAGCATCATTTCGAGCAGAGGCTCCATATTTTCAGCTGGAATGCCTGGCTCAGCTAGAACCTCAAGAAGTGGTAGTGTTGTGACAATGGAATTTCCGGAGTGATCAAGAAAAATTGAGAGAAGAGGGATGTAAAGCTACAGACAATGGTGGTCCAGATTGCCTGACGTGGCAAATCAGATCTAATATGATCCATATCTACATGGTATATATATGTATACCATACATAGAGACCTCACAAGCAAAACTCTTTTTATATGGCAATTCTTATTTTCATGCAGGAAAATTGCTATGCTAGTGTTTTTGAAATCAGTCCTTGGCTGTTAGCCAACACACTTAAAATTATAAAAAGGAGTAAGAGAGAGTATATAATATAAGTATATAAAGATACCTCTCTTTTGCCATATAGGGTTGGTGGAGATGTCAGGTAGCTTTTTGTCACCAGCATGATTTTTTGTTGATGAAAGGTTGTGAGAGTGATTGTTTTCCTTGTCGGTTTTGGCATGAGATGGTTGCTTAAGATCAGAAGGCATGCAATACTTGTTGCAATGTTTATTTGATCAATCTAATCCTCATCTTCATCAGACATTGTTCTTAGGATTGCCTACAGAGGATGCTCACTTGTGGATCATGCATTTCTTGATGGCATTACATACCATGGTTAGGATAATATGCCATACCTTGAAGAACTTCCTCTATGTTTGCAGGGTGCTGCACTGGTATGGTTTGTGAATCTTGCAGCTCCATCAAACACCTCTATTCAACTGGTGTTTGAATGATGTGTTGAAAATGCATTCATTGCATTCAGATAAAGTCCACCATGCAAAACTAAGAAACCTACCCAGGTTTTTGTAAGAAAAAACCCTAAACCATGGTTGGTTTCTGAACCCTGGTTTTGAACCATTATTTATACCGTTGGTTTAGTTTCATTCTTCTCTATTTTAGTAATTAATCTAGACTTTTAAAAAATATAAAGTATTTTTATAATAAAGAAATTAGATTAGTTCCAAATCAAAAAATTTAGTTTCACATCTCTCGTCTGCCTAATCTATAAGTGAGTATGCTTGGCATCTTATGTGATGAGACATCCCAGACATTTCTGTATACTTCTTACTAAGACTCAATCAATTCCAATGCCAGCTTCCTTTTGCCATTCTCTGCACTGCTCAAAGAAAGCTGTCTACAAAAATAATGCTATGAGAAA